ATATATACTGAAAATAATAACTTTAAAAATTTTAAACGGAAATTTTAATACTATTTCAAGTAATCTCTCTCTATTATATAATAATAGATGCTAAAATCTGAATATTTAATTCTAGGGAATATTGCAAATTGGTCCACTAACTTCAATACATAGAATAATTCATTAACACAATCATATTTTATGATGATTTTCCATGTAAAATATATTAACTTCTCTACTGAAATCGTGTTGCAAAACTATGAATTTTCATAACAAAGCAAAAGTATATTTGAATGATAATTACGTTACAAATTCGATTTGCTTATGTCGTCCATTTAAAAAAAAAATAGATTGTAACGGGAAAGACGAAAACCTAAATAGTTTTATCAAATTTTTTTTGTTAGAAATCATATATATAGCATATATAAGTTACACAAGTATAAAAAATTATAGTGCAAGAATTTTTCTTCAAGCTATTATTTAAAATCAATATTATTTCTTATGCATCTCATTAAGTGTTTTTTATTTAAAAATTAATTAATTATTTTAATATTTATATAGATAATTAATTGGTTTAGGTTCATCAAAATTACAAAAACTATATTATTCTTTACAATGTATGCAACTAATATTGTGATTTATATGTAATTCATAATTAATTATATACTGTTTTACTAATGATCAAAATATTAAAAATAGTACAATTATCTAACTTATAAATTTTAATATTATAGGAATATATACTTAACATCATTTTATTTACATTTATGCATATAAGATTGAGTACTAGAATAAATACTTGTCTTCGGTCCCACCATTAGACACATATTATAACTTATACATGTATAAAAACTTATTACCTACAACATAGTATGATAAAATTTAAGTCTTGTTGAAGAAAAACTGGTACGAATCCCGTAGGATGCATGTGTAAGAAATATTCATTAACATTTATAAATTACAAATGCTCATTAAATTATATTTATAAATTAAAAAATATGGAATTAATATTTAATACAATTTATCTATATTAATTTGTTCAAAATGTTATATGAAATTTAAATTGTGCAAAATTACATAAGACATGTCTATTACACGACCCGTACGGTGTAAGTAACTTATAATTAATAAGTTACATTATATTCATCTCAAAATATGTGTCATTTTAAAATTTTTATTCAGAAATTCGATTTGACTACGATGTGATTTAAGTAAAAACAAACCTTTATATATATATATATACATACATACTCACACACACATACACACACACACACACCAAATAATTTGATATGTTCCACGCACATTTACAAAGAAGAATCGACTATAGTATTATCCAGATTTTTCTTTCATTAATATCGAGTAAAATGCTTAACAATATGAAAAAAAAAAAAAAATACTGTTGATAAAATACAAAAAAAAAATGATATTCAGGTTAACCACGAAATTAATTGCACAACCTACAACACATTTATTATAGATAAAAATAAAAAAAGACCCAAAAAATAGTTATAAAGAATAATTAAATAGAAACTACCAATAACACAATTATTTTAGAATAATTTTATAAGAAATTATAATTAAATAAGTCAACCGAATTTACATGATATTTCCTTAATTATCCACGATTTGAACAATTAAATACACAAGAAATAAATAACATTTATTAAATAATATTAAATAAAAAATTTCATTAACACAATTTCTTTAGAATAGATTTTTGCAAACTGCATAATTAATTACTGTTGTCGATATTCTACAATTGTAGTAATTATTTACAAATTGAATGAATCAGTCGGATTTATATAATTTGCGTAATTAAAGTATATTAAAAATGTATTTCACAAAATAATTACACGAATATAAAAACACTTATCGAATAATAAACTATACAATTTAGTTGGAATTTTTTTACCAAATCACATAATTGGTATTGCAGCCGAAATTCCCATATTTGGGTAAATTAACCAATTCACATGATTTGAGTAATTAAGGTATCTTAAAAATGAATTTACCATAAGTGATTATTTGAAATATACCATAAATTCTTAAATTAATTTGAGTAATTATGGTATCTTAAAAATGTATTTTTATATGGCTTAATTATTTCCTTAAATAATGTGCCGCAATTTTCATAAGTGAATTTTAAAATATACCATAAATTGCTAAATTAATTTCCCAAAATAGTAAATAGATTTTTTTGGAGGGAAATAGTTAATATTTAAAAAATAATCAAACCTTTTTATATATATATAGACATCACAAAATATAATTTCTAGTAGTGGCAATCGAAAAATTATAAAACCTTTTGTGTTACAGTTATGTCAACTGTTGAGAGTTAAGTTCACGAAGGAAACAAAAAATCGATATAAAAATCAATATTACACTATTTTATTTAATTATTTTATATTCATACTTCTAAAATAAAATTTTCAAATTTTAAGGTTAAAAGTTATACTTTTGAAATTATATATAGAGAAAATCAATTAGTTTTGCTGAAAGAATACGCCTTCCAACATTAACACTATAGTTGTTTGCCTAAAATTACGACACTCATCATCTAATAATTACATGATGCAATCTCATAGTAAACTAGCTGAATATAATTGGGTTTTTTTAATTAAAATCTATGAAGTCATTCACGATAAGTATTATTTGAAGATGGCGTTTAAATTTGCCCATATTTTGCAGGTTGATCAACTTCTAGCACAAGGAGTCAATGTCACCATATATAATGGTCAAGTAAGAGATTCTTTTCAAAAATGTCCTGATATAAAAGCTCAGGAATAAAATAGTAGTGTACTACTATAAACAGTTTTTGTTTTTGTTTTTTGTTTTGTTTTGTTTTGTTTTTTTTTCTCTTAGTATAAATTTTCTTCTTAGTTTGGACAAGTAACAATCTTACCATTTTATAATTTTCTCCTATATTTCTCTCTTAAATTACGATTTACAAATCACTTTATGCACTTTCTATTCCTCTTATTTTTTTCATCAATACTTCCATCAAAATTTTAAATAAAAATTTATTTTAACAATAATTTTTATCATATATTTCCTAACTCAGCATCCGTACTATTTTATTATATCATATAATAGTTATTATTAAAACTAATAACTATAGTTTACACTAAATGATATATGGAAGTTACATAAACATTAAAAAATATTATAAACTTTTTGCTAAAGTTATTTATTCTAAAATTAATATTATGTTTTTTTAATCTTATTTAGCGATTGTATTTTTAAATAAGTTAATTTATTTTAATGTTATAGTAAAATTCCTTAAAATCGCATAATCAAATGTTATAATAAATTAAATATTTTTAAGCTAATAAATTGGCGATCTCTAAAAATTACATTATTTATTATATTTATGTAATTAATATAGTGGTTCATATGCAATCAAATAGTTATGTACTATTTATATTAACCAATGATCATATTTAAAACATAATATCATTATCTAATTTATATTTTTATTATTATATGCATAAATATAACTCATAATGCTCTATGTTTAAAATATAATATCATTGTATAACTTATAATTTTAATACTATATGCATAAATGTAACTTATAATATTCTATTTACACTGTGCAAATGCACAGGGTTGAGTACTAGTTTATTATAACAATTGTTTATGCAATTTTAAGGAATTTTACTATGACATTAAGATAAATTAATTTATTTAAAAAACAATCACTTAATCAGCTAAAAATAAAATATTGAATTTAGAATAAATAACTTGAACAAAAAGTTTTTACAATATAATTTTCTATTTTTATGTATTTTTCATATATTGTTTACTGTAAAATATAATTATTAATTTTAATAATAACTATTACATGATACAATAAAAATATAATTATTACACAGTTAATATAACATGTATCGTTTTGTTGTCTTAATTAACCTAAAAAGGTGCAAAAAAATATTTTATCATTAACGGGATATTGTCGATTAAAGTAGTAGTAGTAATAGTAGTAATAATAATAATAATAATAATAATAATAATAATAATAATAATGAATAAATAAATAAATAAATAATGGATTGTAAAAGTTTTTGTGTCAGTAAGATGTCATATATATATATATATATAAATACTGTAAACGGAAAATATGCACATGCTCGATTCATCAACCTTAGATAACCTACCAGTTATGCTCGATTATTAAGTAATACAACTTCACTATTAATCGGTTTATTTAATTATCAGATGGAGCGGGCTTAATAGATTCTTGCTAACGAAAAGAATTCCATTTTATTGTGGGGCTCATCCAGAATACACTGCTGGTTTCGTTAGATCATATAACAATTTTAAGTTCTATTGGATTCTAGGAGCGGGTCATCTGGTAAGTTCACCTACATAATTTTTTTTTTTTTTTGAATTTCTTATAATTAAAGAGAATCAAGCAATTTTCAGTTAAATATTAGAACCTTCATTTTTTTATTTTTTTATTTTTTATTTTTTTTTTCAGGGAGACGTTGAAAATTGTTTTTTAGTCTCCACTCTCCTTTTGTTTTAACAATTTAGAAACGTAGCAAAACTAATAACCACCACCCATTTTTACCATATATTTTCACGAATATTAAAATTGGATATAAAATTGAGGAGATGAAAAAATGATTGAAAAATCTGCAAATTTTTTTATCAAAGCGTTTCCTTGTTAATTTGTTTGTACTATATTAGTAAGACTACTAATGCATGTAAGTAGTACCTTGTATATGTTAGAATATTACTTGTGAGTTGTCCCACATCGTTTAACTATAAGTCTAGTAGGCCACTCCTCCTATCACCAATTGGTTTTAGGATAGAACCTCACTAAGATGCATCTAGTCTCCGTGGCTCACCCTGTTATATATGGTGCGCTTCACGTACGTGGGACCGCACCCGAACCTCCCATTCTTATAGTATATATTTTTAGTATGAATTTTCAGAATCAAAGTCCTAGTGCGAGAAATCCATATATGTACTATGCTCTCGATTAACATATAGTAATAGCATAATACATACCAACTTAGTATAATTCATATTACTAAATTAGGATGGTTCTTTCGNTTTGAGCCATATCACACTAGATACATTAATTTTGTTAAATTAATCGAAAGAGATTATTTTTTTTACATGTAATTTTTTTTCGGTCTAAATGATTATTACGTTGCACAAATTAAAAAAAAAATTAAAAAAAAAAACAACTGGGGAAAAATGTACAAGTATCAATGTTATTTTTTGGACAACTTTCCGACATCATCCGGTGTCTATTTAGATGATACACTCAGAATATTAGATCAAATAAAGTCATTTGCCTGATCAATTGTTTGTAATAAATCCACTGCGCAACAAATCATCACAAATCACTGCTCTTTCTTCAATAACTTTCCGGCATCATCTAAAATCCATTTGGGTCCACTGAATAACAATTAGACTCATATCATTGATTAGATTTAACACTCAAAATATAACTCAAAACAAATTCATTTACCTTTTCAATTGTTGTTAAGACATCTCTGGAGCATAAACTTTGCCAAAAATCGTTGCTCTCTTTTCGGCCACTTTCCAGAATCATTGGACGTCAAGTTTGGTCGAGTGACCTAACATTGGACTCTATTTTTGTTAATTTGATATTTTCATTATATCGTCTCATATTAAAATTTTCAGCCACGTCAGAGGAATGTATCTCTTTCGATTAATTTGAAATTAATGTACATAGTTTGTTATGGTCCATATTAACATATCTTTTTCAGATCACACACAATTTGGTGTATTTTTTATGAAATTTTTCCGTTAAAGGATGTATCCTTGTGTAACTTAAACTTTTTTTTTTTTATTCTATGGTTTCAGGTACCTCTTGAACAGCCTTGCACTGCATTAGACATGATAACAAACATAACACAGTCTCCTGCTCTTTCTTGAAGATACATACTAGTCTACCTGTGACGAATTCAAATAGATCATCACATAAAATATTGTTTATCTAAGAGCTTCATAAAGGAAGAAGAATAAAGAAAAATAAACTTGCTTTTCTATATGATACGAACCTTTAAAGAACTCTACGTCTTTTATATGACAAATTAAACTTTGCACTCTTATTTTTTTATCATTCCTCTACCATATAATTGAAATATGTACTCAATATTCCTAGTTTGAAAACAAGTAAGTATTTTTATTTAGAAATAATAATGTTGCTGAATGAACACTATTGTTGTAGTTTTTTAGTTGACATCTGAGAACTTTCGAACATAAGTCACGTCTATCAAATAAAAGCCATTTGGAATCGAATTATCCCAATGATTAATCACAATAAGGAGAAAATAAATTTTAAACACTCTAATCGCAAGTTTAAATGTTGAAGTATACTAAAGAAACCCATAGAAACTAAAACAAAAGCAAAAGGCCATATAATTACAATAAGAAAATAAAAATAATATTAAGCACCTTAACACTCAAAAAATGAAAGAAAAACCCAAGGTTCGAGAACATGCAATTGGATTTGTATGGCCCTATATTATATAAATTTTACAGTATGAAATTTTTTCTTAATTATTATTTTTATGCGCTAGTGTTATAATTATAATAGGTTTAACTTAATCTCAAATGTGTACGAAATTAGGATTGGGCCAAGTAAAATATTTATAAACTTTTTCAAGAGTGTCTTGGAAGATTAATACTTATGTATTTAAATAAATATTTAAGTGCAAGATGTACTACACGTCTTATTTATCGTCTCGAAATAATATTTACGAAAACTACTCTATGTGTCCACAACGTGATGTGCAATTGCACCTTAAATTGGCCTTCCAACGCTCCTAGACCGCCTTGCTCCTCGGAGACCTGCAAAGACGCCGGGAGGTGTTTTCGGCATTAAACCCCCGACGATCAAGTCAGTAAAGATGCTGAAAAGCTGTGTATATCTCTATGAAGTATTTAAAATATAGAGTGTGATTAACTTACATTTTCCCCAATTTCACCTATTTATAGAGAGTTATTAGCTTATTCAGTACGCTTGGTTCTTCTTCCATCGAATCACTTATTCCTTTTTTATCCTGATCCTACACGTGTCCATTGTGGCACACATCTCATAATTGTTCGCATAGGTCGGCTCTTAAGTTAATATAATGCTTCTATAGGTTGGCATCTTACTATAAAACGCCTTTATCATCCTATGTCGAACTCAGAGCTATTAAAGCTCTCCTCTATCTGAGTAGCTCCTGAACTGAGCTAGTGATATTATAATATGCTTAAGACTGAGCAACTTCTAAGCCGAGATACTAACGCTACAATAGTCTTTAAGCAGAGCAACTCCTAAGTCGAGCTACTGACACTACACTATTCTTTAAGCCGAGCAACTCCTAAGCTGAGCTATCGACGTTACCATACTCTTTTAGCCGAGCTACCGAAGCTATAATACTCTGTTAGTCGAGCAGCTCCTGAGACGAGCTACCAAAGCTACAATACTCTTTAAGCCGAGCAACTCCTGAGCCATGCTACGTATAATGGCGGTTCACCGAGCCACTCTTATGTGTAATATCATCTTGCCCTCTCCTCCCCGTTATCAAATGGCTATGGCTCTTCGAGCTCCATAGACTTGTTTGATAATTAAAATAATAGTGATAACCTAATTGCCGACCTTCTACTACGATGCTCCGTCCGACCTATACTTGAAAATACGTGCTCCGTATTTTGCGCCCCTCTCTTCATCTGTTTAATCATTACATCCTCGATTTTCATGCCTAGGGTTTATCTCACAGCCCTAGGGTCTATTTCAATTGGACAACCATCGTTGCATCTACTTTTACTATAAATAATACTTATCCACTCCATCTACTCTTTTATGTCTTTCGCTTTTTGTTGCTATTTTTTCGATTTGTGTTACATCTTCTTCGTCTTGTTTTTTCGGCCACTGTACTCACCGGCAATTCTATTTTCTGATTCTTGTACATATATCTTTGTTGTTTGTGTTTTTTGCCTTTTTTTCCTTTCTTACTTCTTCTTTCTTTTTTTAGATTTCGCTTGAAGCTCCCTTAGTATTATAGCCATTTCCTCGGCCTCAGACATCTCTAACCCTAGCTCAGACTCCCCCTCAGAGGAATCCCTAATTAACACTAATACCCCTATCTGAGCTAAACCTCTGAGGTCGGTTATGCATCTTCGTGATGAAGCCGACGGGGACATTCCATGGGAAACCCTAACCTAAACTGTAGATAATAGCTGTCTTGACCTAGCTAATTGACCAACCCGCCGACCCAATCATAGAGTGAGCTTATGGAGTTGTGGTATTAACCCGACCTAATCCTTTCTTCTATGTTGTTGAGCCTGAGATAAAGGCTTTTATGCGATTGTGCGAGCTCCCTCCTGATTGGGTATTTCAAGCCCCTTCCCTGGGTAGCTTGTACAACCGCCCTCCCCCAATCTTCTACACTTTCTTCGTCGACCAAGTTACTAGTGGTCTGCGTTTCCCAGTCTGCTCTGATTTGCTTGCTTTAGCCGAGCAATTTCAGTTCCCCATCACCCAGCTCGCCCTTAATTAACGCTATCAGGATACTAATAGGTTACACTATCCTTAGCCATTAACGTTTCCAAAATTTAGATTGCGAATTCTTTTCTTATTGTTATCGCCTCAAAAAACAACGTGGGTCGTTTTATCTTAGTGGTTGCAACCGAGCTGATTACCTTAGGGAACTTTCTACCAAAATTAGCAATTGAAAATCCCGATTCTTCTTCCTCAAACCCCCAATAGGTACCTTCAGTTTCAGCTCGGGCTCACTACAACACCTACCCAAAAGCGAAAACTGAAAAAAAATAGCTCATTTTGACGACCTTGTTAACGAGTGGAATAAAGTCCTTACCATATCGGGAAACTCACCTCCCCTGTCGAGCTGCGCTCACTTTACGGGCTGACCTATAAGAAGGTCGTCCCTTTTGACATAGATATATCTGCTAACGACCCCACTCTTATATTCATACAACACTTTTATTCCATAGTCAAGTTATATTTTTTAAGTTTGTTATCTGTTATTTTTTGTAGAGAAATTACTGGCTGGTACTATCTCCACCAAGAAAAATGAGCCAAAGAAGAAGTTTAGCGCGAGCCTCTCCAGCCTCCTCCATGAGGCCATCTGTTGTGACCATTTTTGTTACGTTTTTCTGTACTATTTTGTCGTTCCTTTTCCCCCGTTTTAGGTCTTTTTGTTAGTTTTTAGTTCATTTTATAGTTTATTGTGTGTTTTGTTCTATTTTGGCTTTTTATGTGTTTTTCGTGTATTTTGTCGTTTTTCTACGTTTTTCTTCTTGTTTTTAGTGTGCAGGTCGGAAGCCCCGTGAGGAACCTATTTAGCTCGAAAACGGGTTGGAAAATCATGGTTGGATAGATGGGTTCCTTAGCTACACATAGAAAAAAGCGGAATCCAATTTCAAGTTCGGACGAGTCCGGACGGGTCCAAAACGCGAAGTCACGCGGAACACGTTCAATGTGTAGGTCAAGAGCTTTAGGATAATTTGATTTCAATAATAATTTGGCCATTCAAGTATCATTGAATAGAGGGGTTCGTTAGCGACGCATAGGAAAAAACGGAACTCAATTCCGAGTTCGGACGAGCCCAAACGAGCCCGAAACGCAAAGTCATGCAGCCCAGCCCCAGCTAGCGGCGCTAGGGGGTGCTAGCGGGCTTCTGAGACTCATTTTTTATCCTAGCGGCGCTAAGGCCCATCCTAGCGGTGCTAGCTACTCCGATAGGGCCTGGAAACCTCCACTACTTGCCCAATTTAAGGCATTATGGCCTATTTTGAGGGTACTTTCACTATGGTCGGGATTGTGGAGCATTTTACCCCTTGTTTTGTGATGATAATGCCTTAAACTATGTATGGTTGTTGGATGTGAAGTGGTATAAATGGGGGTAAGTGCAAGACTTGAAAACACAACTCCATAGAGGGGTTCTCCCCTCTTCTCCCTCTTCTTCTTCTCTATTTTTCTCTTTAGTGTTGTCTTCGTTTTTCATGTTGTGAGAAGGAACACTTAGAAGACTTGTTGCATTTTGGACTTGACTTGCATTATGTTCTTGACATCGGAGTTCACATTAATAGTAAGTTTTATTTTCCATTGTGTTTATGATGATTATGACTATGTTAAATGTGAATGTTGATGTTGAGATTGAAATGAGTAGCTAATTCCTCAGCTAGGGTTAAGGGATAATCATTCCGGTTTGTTCTCGTTTATGTGCATGACGATAGCTCAATCTTGACGAGTTATTTTAATTATGAATTGATAAGATCACACTTGATAAATTTTCATAACCTAAGAGTGACACTTAGGTTAATTTGTTGATATAATCAAAGAGTGACACTTTGATTTGTGATTAAATATTGATTTGTTGAGTTAGAGTTTGTTAATTCTATGAATTGCGACTTTTAGAATCGAAAGGGGAGGAGTGGTAGAGATAATTGATTTCAAAACCGAGAGGGGGGAAATTGATGGAATTTGGCTCGTTTAGAGTAGACATGTTCGGAGACGTATTGTCTATGTGTTAATTGTTTCGTTAATTTGCTCGTTTATGTCTATCTTCATATTGCGAGAGTTAGTGAGGTTAAATCGCTAAATGAGTTAGTTAGTCGAACCATTTAACCGAGTTATTAATTGCCGTTAAATGTGTGTAGAACCGGAAGCGATTATTCCCGATACCCTAGCTTGTTTATCTTTTTATCGTTTATATTTTTAGGTAGATTATCATCCTTTGTTATTTCTTAGTTGATAATTTTCCAACCCTATCGTGATTAGAATGTGTAGGATTTATTTTGCTTTTATGTGTTATCGATACCACTTCTAAATTCCGAACCGCCTTCCTCGAGAGATCGACCCGGGAAACGAATCATTCGATTCGGTGCTCGGTAAAATAAAAATAATTTGCTACAACAAATTTGGCGCCGTTTCTGGGGAAGACAAGTAGGATATTTAGTTTTGATATTGGTGTTATTTTCCGTGTTTCTCTTACTTTTGTGATATTTTCTTAATTTCAGTGTTTTCTCTCGATTTTTTTTATTTTCCATTTCTCTTGTTTTTGGTATATTTAAAAAAAATCGTAAAAAAAAAATATTATATATATATTTTGTGGTTTCGCGTGGTTGTTCTGTTCTTGTGTGCAGGTATTTTGACAAT